TGCTGACTCTCTGTAAACCACTTAGAGAGGGCTGAAAGCCCTATGAAGCGGTATATAAGTCTAACTGCTATTGCTATTAATATTTGATTGGGAGACCACTAGGAAATCCTAGTAGACAAAGCTGGAAATGAATGGGGAAGTGGTGATCTAACCAATGCACAATGACAAATGCATGTCAGAAGGGGCACTGACGGAAACATCTGGCTGCTGCTCTTTTTTGAAAATTGAGTTTTATGGAAAGCTGCTGTGTCACCTTCAAATGAACGAGAATGCAGCCCTCTCCCCATTTCCAAATTAATGGGAAGCAGTGCCTATTAACGCATTCCGTACATAAATAAACCACCTAGATTTATCAACAATCAACAAATGAATAAATAAATCTCCAGATCCATTCCCAGGGCATGAAAAAGGATGATATTTACACCGCCTCCATTCCCAATTTCCCATGAATTTTAATACCAAAGGAAAAGGAACAAAGGTAATTGTGCACCAAGGGGAGAAGGGGATTCTCTGCACGGGGGAGGAAATAATCCTATCCAGAGGATGCATCACTCCTTTAAAAGGAAAAAGAGAGAACAGGCTCACACGAGATGCTAAATAAGCAAGGCAGCTTTTGCCCCAGGCGTCCTCTCTGGTTATTCCTCAATTGCAAAACGGTCGTTAAGCGAGGATCCGCCTTCTGTGCATGGCCAGAAACCGCATCCATCCTCAAATCAACGAGGTGTTTGCAAAACTGATCCCGGGGATCCCTGGGAGCGCAGTCGAGCCTCCTCTCTGGTTATTTCTCAATTGCAAAACGGTCGTTAAGCGAGGAATCGCCTCTAGTGCATGGCCAGAAACCGCATCCATCCTCAACCAATGAAGCGTTTGCAAAACTGATCCCGGGGATCCCAACCGAGCCTCCTCTCTGGTTATTCCTCAATTGCAAAACGGTCGTTAAGTGAGGAACCGGCTTCCGTGCATGGCCAGAAACCGCATCCATCCTCAACCAACGAGGCGTTTGCAAAACCGATGCCGCCGGGGATCCCTGGGAGCCCAGCCGAGCCTCCTCGGGACCCACGAAGGGGATCCAACCGGGGCGCTTCGGCCGGTCCTCTCCCCGTTCCGCCCCGCCGCCTCCAGCCACAAACCTCACCGAAGCCCTTGATGAGCTCCGTGAAGACGCCCGGGTCGCTCTCCATCAGGCACCACTCGCCAGCGCTGCCCCCGCCCGCCATCGCGCCCAAGAAGCCGCTTCCCGCTCCGACCGGCCGGACTCCGCCAAGAGGCTCCGCTCTGCGACAACCGCGCGCCCGCCGACGGTCGAGAGCCAGGCGAGGCAAGGCACGCCGCCGCCGCTTTCCCGGCAGCCTCAGCGGCCGGCGACTTCGGCCTCGCCAGGGGCGCTCTCTCCCCCTATACTCGATGGTGCAGAGAAAGGGGAGCGGAATAACCAGAGAGATTGCGAGGCTAGAGCGCCCCCGGCGTGCCGCATTTCCGGCTTGCAATGAAAGAGGCGGGGTTTTTAAGAGCAAAGAGTCGAACCGGCGTCAATGAGAGTAAACCAACCCGCCCGAAGACAGGCGGAAGCGGGCGCCCCCTGTGGCCGCGAGACGGGGGCGGGGATAATGAGGCCGCGAGACGGAGGGGCGGGGTCGGGGGGGCGTGGCGGTGCATCCGGGTCTTTTGGGGATCCCCGTCATCCGTGCGACGAGGCCCGCTGCCACTTCCGGCGCCCCCCCTCCGCCCTCCTCGTCTCTGCTGCGTGAGGGGAGCTTCCGGGCGGCCTCGGCGGCTGAGGAGGAGGAGGATCGGCCGGAGCGTCTGAGGAGAAGCCGATCCTTTCCTTGGGCTCCCGAAGGCCGCGGAGGCCGCCGCAGTTGCACGCAGAGGTACGGTTCGCCTGTGCACAGAAGGCCGCCCCGTCCTCCTTTGGAACCCCGCTCTCCCTCGGCTGCCTTCCAGGGAAGAGCCCCGGGCTGGGCCTGGGAGCGGCGGTGCGGCAAACCCCCTCCCTCCCTCCTTTCTTTCTTCCTTCTTTCCTTTCTTTGTTAGCCGTTCACGTTCCCGGCTCGTCGCCCTTTAGCTGAGGGAGTCCAGGCGGTGTTTAATCGATGGGCCGATCGGAGCTCTCTGGTGCGGCGGGAGGGGGGGGGGAGCAAGTCCCCGATTTACGACCGTCGATTCAATTGACTGTCCAAAGTCACAACGTCCCGGGGGGGGGAACAGTGACTTTAAAATATAATAATAATAATAATAATAATAATAATAATAATAGTAATAGTAATAATAATATACTATAATATAATAAAATATAATAATATATGGCTCTGCAGCCCCCTCTAAGCGGTTTGCAGAGTCTGCCTATTTTCCCCAATGGGCTCAATCCCAGACCTGGCAAGACCTGAGTGAGCAAACCTTGTGCCTGGTGGGACACGAACCCCCCAATGGCAAATCCCCCCCCCAGTCAGCAGAAGGGGCCCTGCAGTGCTGCATTCCAACCAGGGCGACACCACAGACCTTACAGCTTTTGCTTTTATTCATTTAGTTCGTCAAACACGTGAAAGATGACAGGCATAAGTATAAACTTAAGTATGTACGTAGTAAATGGGTATGAATAAATGGAGACAGGAGGACAATAGCAATAGCAGTTAGACTTATATACCGCTTCCTAGGGCTTTCAGCCCTCTCTAGGCGGTTTACAGAGTCAGCTTATCTCCCCCACAGTCTGGGTCCTCATTTCACCCACCTCGGAAGGATGGAAGGCTGAGTCAACCTTGAGCCGGTGAGATTTGAACCGCCAATCTGCACATAGCAGTCAGCTGGAGTGGTTGCAGTACTGCACCCCAACCACTGCACCACCTTGGCTCCTTTGAATCTTAGAATAATAGCAATAGCAGTTAGACTTAGATACCGCTTCATAGGGCTTTCAGCCCTCTCTAAGCGGTTTACAGA